GAATTATTAAAATTGATTTTTTTTATCTTTTAAATTTAAATAAATAAACAAAATAAACTAATGAGCTTTACTTTGGTTATTTTGAAATAAGAAGGTAAGTCCATTAATGAAATTGATATTTATTTATTACTACGTTTATTGTAATCATTACATTAAAGTATTATGTGAAATTTATTAAAATAGAAAAACTCATAAAATGACATGTGGAAAAGAAATTAATTCAAAATAACCAAAAAATGACATTTAGCAAAATTGGATGAAAGTGTGACATGTGACAAAAAAAACTTTCATTTATTAGAGTAGATATATTTTCTACTTTGTTATGTTGTTCCATATCGATAAAATATCAAATGATAAGAGTAAGATATCTTTATTTAAAGAATTATCATCTTCATAAATTCTTGAACTATTACTTTTTATCTCCTTGGGAAACCTTAATAGAAAGCATTTTTATCTTTCACAACTCAAATCCTTTTAACGGTTTCAAAATGTAATTTTTGAGTCTCAATGTGTATATACAATTATAGTGTAAATTACACGATTCGTCCCTCATGCATGTGTCAAATTACGCGTTTGGTCTCTATTTTTAAAAATTAACTCGAACCATCCCTACAATGTTTTTTCTCACTCAAACCGTCTCTGACGGACTTAAAATGACTATGTTATCCTTTCCATTTGTTTTTTGATTTATTTTTAATTTGTTTATTATTAACAATTTAAAAGAAAAACAAAAAATGAAGCCCACCACCATAAATCCTTAACCTCTACGTTAGCCCCCACCAACACCCTTCATCTTCATCAGTTCGTCTTTTATGTTTAGCTGCTGGAGCTACGGAGAGAGAGGGAAGACCATCATTGGAGAATGCTGAGAGAAAGAAGACCATCACTATCTTCGTCGGAGATCTGCACTTCGACAATAAATGGATCGTCTCATATCTACACTACTATCATATCTTACCTTACTAGATCATTTGTCGATTTACAGGTTCGCTTACCACCATCTCTGGCATCAACATTGTCTTCTACGTTCGACTATCGTACATGTGTGCCGTCGTCAGGCACTATTTAGGGTTTTCAGATCTATACTCGGGAAAACAACTCATCTCTCTTTTCTTTGTTCACAGATTTGGCCTCTAAAAACAAATCTTTTGTCAATAGAGGTTGCTGGAGGTGAAAGGGGATGCTAGTGGTCGAAACCCTTCATCTTTTCTGATGTTTGTTGGTGGGTAATCGGGGAACCAGTTCAAGTGTTGGTGGAATTAGCAAACGCTTGCTGGTTTGATTTGATAATGAATAGTATCTATATCTCATTTCATTCTACAAATTTTGATGTGTTTCCTGTTAGTGTACCCCTACCTTCAAGTTCTTCAAAAGTTCTTGGTTTATCAGGGGTCCCAACTAAAGAAGGGATAGTGAGTATACCCATATGCATTGTCCATTGTTTTGGTGTACTCACTGAACATTTTTTCAAAGATGTAGACAATTTACTCCTCGGAGCATCTCAAGTGCTCGTTTTTTTCCTAATCTTATTCGTTGTTGTAGATCTGCAAAGCATATCAATATAATTGTTCCCAACATTACAGTAGTTCTAAGACTTCTATTGTTAGTTTCACATATGGTTGGTGGTGATAGCGCCATGATTTTATACGAAAGTAAAATTCAAGAACACTGGATCAGTTTAGCTACTGCTGGAACAATTCCTGTTGAGCAAGAAAACATCTATAACCATGGTGAGATTTTTTGGGTTTTTTTCTGGATTTTTAGTTGTTCGGTGGTGAATGGTGAGAGTAAGAGTATCGGTAGACGTGAGCGGTGGAAGGTGGTTGGCGATGGTGGGTAGTGGTTGGTCGAAGAGTGTAGGTCGGAGGTATAGTGGTGGTAGGAGATGTGACTTCTATTTGTTAGGAATGGTGTTTGGATGAAGAGAGTGATAAAGAGGGTTATGAGTTGGGGTTCATTACTTTAAATAAACCAATAAATATGTAATTAATTAAATATAACTAACAAATAAAGTTAAATAAAAAAGAAATAGATAATTGTAAAATTGTCTTTTTATGTCTGGTTAACGACATTAGGGATGAAGCGTGCAAATTTTAAACAAACGAAAGATTGTGTTAGGGTCGAAATGTTGTAATAGTCGAAGTTTGTATTTAGGGTCTTCGAACATTTTTGTAAT